CGATGCAGGGCTATGGTGGAAGGACTTGCGGGCAGACATTGATGCGTTGATAAAGAATTGTTTGGTTTGTAAGGTGGCCAAGAGCCGCCCAGTAGTTACAGGTTTCATGCGCAGTCGTGAGTCCGATGGTCCGTTTCGAGTACTCGTCATTAATTTTGTAGGCCCACAACGACCAGCTACACCAAGAGGGAACGAGTATTGCTTTACATGCGCTTGCATTTTTAGCGGCTGGTATTGGTGCATTCCTTGTAGACGGGATGATTCTGCCACAGCAGCAGAGCTTTTTGCAGAGCGTATCATGTTTGATTTGGCTGGGGTCCCGGCTGTACTGAGTTCGGATAGGGCTAAGGCATTCACAGAATCAGTAGTCAAGCATTTGAACGGGACATTTGGCATCAAACATGTTTTGGGCACCTCCCTACATCCGCAATCGCCATCAACAGTTGAGCGACCACACCGTGAATACCGTACGTTATGCAAACAGTTCATGCGAGAGTTCAGCAATAACTTCGATGTTGTAGCGCCCCTTTTCCAGTGGACAGTCCGCACAAGCTGCAAGGTATTCAATGGCTCATTCACCCCCTACGAGATTATCACAGGGCTAAAGCCTCGCACACCCTTGGATGGATTGTTGAGTACTCCAACCGTTTTGCAAGCAACATCCGTCGATTCGTATGTGTCCCAATTAGTTCTGTATTTGCGTAGGGCGCACGCTTTTGTTGAGAACGAGCATAAACGAGTCAGAAATGCAGAGCAGGAGCTTCAATTGCGCAAGTTTGGGGGGGACACGCATCTGGCCGTGGGGGATTTCGTTTTGGTTAAGAAAGGTAGTTTTTCATCAGATGAGCGCAGAAAATCTCAAACACCGAACCTTGACGTTGTGTATCAAATCGCAGATCAGACGGGCGGAGAGGCGCGAAGCCGTGCATTTGTGTTGTGTGATCCCGTTACTGGTTCGAAAGAGTTGGGTTTTCACCAGCCAGTTTCCGCAGACCGTCTAGTGCCTGTACAGCTCGCACCGCCGCTTACCACCCCAATTGGCCCTGATCAACCGCGAACCCGCCTTACCGTCGGTGGCAAAACTGGAACCATCGAAGCTGTCGGAATCGATGGGCGAGTCCATGTCAAGTGGGATCATGCTGGTACAGAGGTGCTTGATCTAACTACGACTTCGTACCAGTGGCTGGATGGGTAGATACCCTCGCTGTAATGGAAGCTATCCATCTCGGCAGGCTGTAGCTATCATCAGCATCACATATTAGTATGCCATGTTATGCTCTACGGGGCCAGGGATTGCGTCTCACTGGTTCATGCGGCACACTGTAAACATGTTTGCAGCACAACCCTGACCGCAAACAGTTTGGGGGATGCTTTGTAACGGAATAGACCATGAAACGAACACACAAGTGCCAGAGCATGAACCATATGTGCTATGTTTCACTTGGTGGCTCAAGGCCACACACAGGAGTGATATCAGTCGATTGAGCTCGGCCATTCAAAAGGGTTCTGAGTTGTGTCGGTTTTCGTTATCATGAGTGGCAGACTCATTGAGAGCCTCGCATTTGAAACCGAGTTTGGAGGTTCTGTGCTTTGGGCCCGAGACGTTGACAGTACTGCCTATTACGCAGCGACTTGCGCGGTCGGGTAGTCATTTAGCGTGGTTATCACATTCTCGGTGTTTCATGGAATTGACGTTTTGGATGTGGCCTGACATCCTTGACATATATCATCGTCCCAAAATTCCCTACCCCCACCGCCCCTTCAAGCACTAGCCATATAGTAGTTTCCATTTTATTTTCCATTATCCCAATATAACCCCAATATACTTTAGTAAGTAGTTTCCATTTTATTTTCCATTTCCCCTATATAACCCCAATATACTATAGTAGTTTCCATTCTATTTTCCATTATCCCCTATATAACCCCAATATACTAGTTCAAACCTACGGTCGCCA